ACGGTTGCGAACGGTTGCGAACGGTTGCGAACGGTTGCGAACGGTTGCGGACGGTTGCGAACATAGAAGCAACGGGTCGCGAACAAGACTCCGCCCCCAGACCCCCAAGAGTTAAACGAGAACCCTTCGCTACGCAGTCGGGAAAAAAACACACAGGAAAACTATCTAGATCCAAAATGGAACCCAAGCAGTTCCTGTTGCTTTCCTACTCTTTCTTCTATTTCTTCCTATGTTCAATTTATTTTCCTACTTGTTTCCTATTTTATAAGCTTCTTTCAGCTCAACATAAATTAAATCAGATACACGAAGAAAGAATTGACTCCTTGCACTTGAGGGGGCTGCGACAGATTCTTGGATTATCTAAATACAAACACTCGGGAGTATGCGCTCGCTTCCCAAGAGGCCTTTCTCAAGGTGTTCTCGACTTGGTTGAGAAGCGAGTATACTGAGAGCCTTTCCTACCAACCACGTCGCACAGTGCCCACAGAAAAAGAGAAACAGTTTGGCGGTTCTCGCTAATAGGGGTTTTACAGATCAAGTGAGCCTTTTTTGCAACAAAATAAGCCATTGCAAACCTTACCAAAACTGCGACAAATAGAGGGCAGGACAAAACAGGCTTGTACGAGTCCACATGCCAAGCACCCACATATTTGTTTTTGGTTGCTAACACCAGCAAGAAATGAATGGCAAGGAAAACATCTGTCATGGTAGTGCAAGATGTTTGAACAAATCTCTGAAGTGAAACTGCTCGCAAATCCTTGAGGTCATGACTTCTTATGTAAAGCTGGACTTTGAAGCTGCCGCAGAGCGCCGCAGAGGTGCAAACGGAATCGGACTTATGGCCACGTGAGATAAAGTTGCCTAGCAGAGGTTGCGGGGGACATTTTGGCACACGGTCAATGTATTTAATTCGTGTAAGTTAACTAAGTTTGGATTCATTATGTTTGGTTTCATGGCAGGATCTAGCATTCAAGCGGTGTCCAGTTGTCCGAGAGATGTTGATTGATTTGTTTGATGGACCGTGTGTGCATTCACGCCCTGTGCGCAGCACTGGATGTTGATCCTCGAGATCTGCGGAACCTCACCAATACCGTTTTCCGGTATAGAAGAAAAATGCACCCCGTCAGCATGAGAGATATGGTGGTCTCCTTTCATGTTGGCTTGCCGCATTTGTTCTAACTGGTGAGGATGCAAAATTCACTCGCTCGCATTCTCTCGGTCATGCTGGCAAAGCTTTGGTTTCTTAACATCGGCTTCTCGATTTTATTGAGCAGACAGATTCGTTTGAAGGATCATTGCTTTACAAGCAGGCAACTTAATAGCAAGACAAAGTACTTTCAAAATGCAGAGGATTGCCAACTGCGCAGTTCGTGCCAGTGCCACACGACCTTGATCGATCAGTTGCCTGAAGAGTATGCCAAACTTCGCCCTGAACAGTCAGCCGCTTCAGTTTGCCAACTCAAACTACGACCAAACATGAGAGTATGCTAACTCTTGAAGATGCTGTATTGTCAGATGAAGAATTTGCGAGGATTGAGCCTTGGGAGTTTGTTCATCTTACCCAGCTTGTTTTTGGCAAGAAGGCTGGACACGACCTTTTGCACCCTTGCTCATTCTTTTAGAATCTTTGGCTGTGTGAAATGCAGGCAATTTCAGATAGCAATGTAGCAGCAATGTAGCAATGCAAGATAGTAATGACATAGTATTTCTGCTGAAAAGAAAGCTACGGACGAAGAACCCTTTGTATGGTCGAAACTTTGACAGGAATTCCCAAAGCATTTCAAGCGTGCTTGGCGCGGAGAATTTGGACGGACTGCTTGCTTCTCATTGCTTGAGAGAGCTTTGGACCCTAATGTTGAGTGTGTCATGCTGTGGCCTTTTTGTTTTTTGTTTACTAGGAACAAGAAGCTACTAGGGGCTCCTGGCATCGCTACTAGGGGCTCCTGGCCGTACTACCAGGAACAAGAAGCTATTAGAAACAAGTGGACTTTGAACTTTGAGGTTCGGGATTGAGCGGGGAGCGGGGTCTGGTGACTTCAGTGACTGGGCCCAAAAAGTGACAGCCCAAATGCCTTGCCTATGCTTGAAATGTTTTGGAGACCGCACTCAATGGGATGGGTGTAAGCTTTGCTTCAGCTTTGGCGGCTGGTTCAAGCCAAGTTATTGACATATATGTAAAACATGTGTATATAAGATGTTCATTCAAGTAGAGTATCATGCTAAGACTTAGACAACTTGTCATCAGCTACCAAAAGATGCACCAAGCATGATTGCTCTCATTCGCATCATCAAAAGCAGACAGGTCACCCGCTTTGTGCAAGGCTTTGCGGCAAGATCATGACAGCCAAAGCCATGGCTCTTGTTCTCCTGTTGGCCTGCGGCTAAGATGCGGCGAAGAGAAAGGAGTCGCTCAAGATATCGAGACCGTCCTCGTGATGATCGCTATCGCGACCGTCCTCAACGCGAGCACGAGTCACTTCGACCTCGTGAAACGCGGGGTGAAGATCTACCTGCGCTTCGACGAGACCCTCGACTTTCGCATGTAGACCGACCTCGGGGTGGAGCACCTGCAAGAGACGATCATAGACATGAATTGCGAACCAATAGCCGGTATGGTCAAAGTGCTTACCCTGATAATCGGCAAATGGAACGCGATGACAGGCATGCCTATCCTGATGAACACTACAGAGATGACCGATATGATCGAGAAAGGAATTCTCGTGGATATCATCACTCTGAAATGTCCGAACGATACCAAGATCACAAGGATATCCGACAGGAACAAAGAAAGGATCCCAGAGATCAAAGAGATCGAGATCAAAGGGGTCAGAGTGATCGCAATAGCAAGAGCAATCGCAATAGTGATCGCAATGATCCTCGTCAAAACGACCGAGGTCGAAATGAATGGGATCGAAACAATGATCGTCGAGAAGACCGTCATTGGGAGCACAGGGATGAGCGAAGGGACTTCGAGTACTCAGAGCATAGATCCATGTCAAGCCGACCACGTGGCCGACACGAAGCACGAGAAATTTTCATGACAGAAAGGAGACTATGTATGTCAATTTTTGCATTGACTTTATGGACAAGACCTGGATCTTTTTGACGTCAAGGTCTGAACTTTCATTGCACTTGAGGAGAGCTCCAGATGTTCGGGAACTTCGAGACTATGAAGGCAAAAGAGAGAGAATCGATATTGGTGCAGTGCGGGGTGCTTTTAAATAAGGTTGAAGGCCATCGCTAGTAGGATGGAGGCCATCGCTAATAGGTTGGAGGCCATCGCTAGTAGGTTGGAGGCCATTGCTAGTAGGTTGGAGGCCATCGCTAGTAGGTTGGAGGCCATCGCTAATAGGTTTGAGGCCATCGCTAGTAGGTTGGAGGCCATTGCTAGTAGGTTGGAGGCCATCGCTAATAGATCGTTAGTAGGTTGGAGCCAATTGCTAGTAGGTTAGAGGCCATCGCTAGTAGGTTGGAGGCCATCGCTAGCAGAGGCCATCGCTAGTAGGATGGAGGCCATCGCTAACAGGTTGGAGGCCGTCGCTAGTAGGTTGGAGGCCATTGCTAGTAGGTTAGAGGTCATTGCTAGTAGGTTGGAGGCCATTTCTGGTAGGTTGGAGGCCATTGCTAGTAGGTTGGAGGCCATTGCTAGTAGGTGGGAGCCCATCGCTCATAGGTTGGAGGCCATCGCTAGTAGGTTGGAGGCCATCGCTACTAGGTTGGAAGTAGGATGGAGGCAGGTTGGAGGTGATTGCTAGTAGGTTGGAGGCCATTGCTAGTAGGTTCGAGGCCATTGCTAGTAGGTTGGGGGCCATTGCTAGTAGAGTGGAGGCTGTTGCTAGTAGGCTGGAGACCATTGTTAGAGTAGGCCATTGCTAGTAGGTTGGAGGCCATTGCTAGTACGTTGGAGGCAACCGCTAGTAGGTTGGAGGCCATTGCTAGAGTAGGTTGGAGGCCATTGCTAGGAGTAGGTTCCAGGCCGTTGCTAGGAGCAGGTTGGAGGCCATTGCTATAGTAGGTTGGAGGCCATTGGTAGAGTAGGTTGGAGGCGACTAGAGTAGGTTGGAGGCTGTTGCTAGCAGGTTGGTTATTGCTTGTAGGTTGGAGGCCATCGCTAGTAGGTTGGAGGGTATCGGTAGTAGGATGGAGGCCATCTCTAGTAGGATGGAGGCAGGTTGGAGGCCATTGTGAGTAGGTTAGAGGCCATCGGTAGTAGGTTGGAGGCATTGTTAGAGGCGCTAGTAGGTTGGAGGCCATCACTAGTAGGTTGGAGGCCACTAGTAGGTTGGGGGGGCATTGCTAGAGTAGGTTGGAGGCCAGTGCCAGAGCAGGTTGGAGGGCAATTGCTAGAGTAGGTTGGGGTCCATTGCTAGAGTAGGTTGAGTAGGTTGGAGGCCATTGCTAGAGAAGGTTGGAGGCCAATAGGCCATTGCCAGTAGGTTGGAGGCCATTGCTAGTAGTAGATTGGAGGAGGTTGGAGGCCATTGCTAGTATGTTGGAGGCCATTGGTAGTAGGTTGGAGGAGGTTGGAGGCCAGCTATTAGGTTGGAGGCCAGTGCTAGGTTGGGACCATCAGTAGTATAGGTTGGAGG